CCAAAAGAGTTTTCTTCTCAGACAATCCACACATCAGCTTTGTGACAAGGAAACAGCAGGGCTCAGGACATTGGGAGATGAGCAATAGGTGCCTCACAGCTCATTCTCCACAGTCATCACCCCCAGCACTGCAGGGATCCCAGCTTTGCCTTTCTGCTGGCTGGGGAAAGATTGATGTGCTGACTATGAACTGCTTAAAATCCACTTGTGGTCACTGAAGAGACAATGGTCCCAGATCTGGGGGACAAAGGCTCCTGGCTGCCCTTGCCATCTCCAGTGGTCTTTCTCTAAGCTTCAGTGCTTCCGTGGGTCAAAGAGTAGAATCATAGAATGGGTCGATTGAGAGGGACCTTAACAATGTTCTAGTAAGCTTGCTCAGGCCTAATGCCAACAATCACTGGGCTTATAGAGGTGAGGAGGGAAAATGTGATGGCACAGTGGAACGAACAGCTGTCTGAGAAGGAACCAGCTGGGTTTTTTTGTCAGACCTCCCCAGATTTGGGGGTCTTGCTCCCAAAAGGAGTGAGAGGAGCCAGGGAAAGGAACACTTTCCAGGCAGGAAAAAAAATGAATGGAACACCATCCTGTCCAAATCAGAGCACTCCTTGAAAACACTGAGAGAACAGCCTACAGGACCTGCCCTTCCTTCCTACCTCCACTCTCCCAGGAGCTGCTCAGTTTAGATCCTGCAGGCAGCACAGGCTCCAAGACACTGCACATGCCTTGTCTGCCTTTTTGCAGGCCTGGGAACTGGTAATTTTCCATTTACACAGGCCCTCAGCTGGAGGACACACAGTAAACCCTCAGCAATACTTTTATTTTACTTTTTCAGAAAGTTAGGTTTAAAATCAGATATTCACAGAAACAGACCATAGGATTCAGCTGATAAAAACAGGAAGGTTGGATAGAAAGCCTGCACCAGTCCTCAGCAAAACAGTGGAGGTTTGGGGGGGGAAGAATAGAAAAGTTTCTTTCAAGTGCTCTCAGACTGTCACAAAAATCATCCCAGGCATAAAGTCATCCCATAAAAGCAAATGTGGCAAATAGGTTAATGCTGCTGGCAATCACCTTCCACTCTTGACTTGTTATTTCTTAATGGAATGGAAGAGAGAAGCAAGGCTGAATTGTTGCACTTGCACACAAAACTATACTCAGATAGATAGAAGAGGTATTTAGGTCAACATGAGTTTGTTTGTTTAGATTTTCTTGTAATTATTAATTATTGCAGGAAGGGTAGCAAAGTTGCTGGTAGTCTTTGGTATCAGGTGTGGCAAATACTGGGCAATGACCACCCACAGCCAGGGGCTCCCTGCCTTGCCTGGAGGTCTTTCAAATGGCCCATCAGTTGCTCTTTCTCTTTTTCCTGAATGCCTTGGAGAACAAGGCCTTCGCAGCTTTGATAGCCAAAGGAACACAAGCAGAAGCAGTTGAAGCACGAGCAACAACAACACCAGCAGCAGCACCAGCAGGACCAAAAACAGGAACAGTGACAGCAGCCACAACCCCACCAACAACTGCAGAAGCGACCATTTCGCCACCTAACCAGATTATCTGTCGAATTGCTTTCTTGACCTGTAAAGTGAAAGGAAAACACAGGCTGGAAACAAAAGCAGCAATTATATTTACTCCCAGGCATGTTAATGAAGAGCAGGGAGTGATAATCAGGGCAATTAAAAGAATGAGAGACATGCGCTCCAGAAGCAGAAGGGATAACACCCAGGGTTTTAGCCTTAGGCTGTGGCATTCAGTAAGAGGGCACTGTCAGGGTGCAGACAGACTACAGTGACCCTCCTGCTCCAGGGTGTCTGGTGAGGCCAGAGGCAGTGCTGGTTTGGACCCTACGCCTGGGACTTGGCTGTCCCCAGGCAGTCTGTGGGCTGTGTCCCAGTCCACAGGCTCACAGGGAGCAGCAAGAAGGTGCTGTGTGAGGCACACAGGGGCTTATCTCATGGTACTTACCTGACTGCAGTCTGCCTCACCATAGCGGAGCGATGTCAAAAGTGCTCACAGTTTTTGTCAGGCAAATCATAGGTCACTTCCCTGTCAATGTAGCTCTCAGCACGCTTGATGATCTCCTCCACTGGAAAGGGAGTGTGGGAACGGTCATACTTGTGGATCTCCCAGTCATTATTTCCCACCCCCTCCTTCAGGAGCTGCTTCTTCACCTTGGCCTTTCTTGTAAATATTGTCACAATCTCAGCTAACTGGAGTGGGATCCATTCGTCTAGGAAAAGCAGAAAGGAGATAAGCCAGGCAGAACCTGTCATGCCTCTTCAAGACCTCTGATGGGTTTCTGGCTGCTCCTGGAAAAGCCATATCCACACAGAGGGTGAGTCCACCACCAGCCAATGAAAGAGACAGGACTCCTGGGGGATTTGAGCACCCCTCTGCACCCTGCCAGGCTGCACCAGGCTTACTTGTAGATGCCACGTGGATGACATATCCATCCCCCAGGTAGAGGGCCCAGTGCTGGTAAACTGATCGCTTGATCTCGATCAGGTCCCCAGGCTTGGGTTGGTGCCTGCGGCGTGACATCCCAGGAGCCTTCGGTCAGGACACGGCGGTGCAGCTGGTCTGGCTCAGCGCAGGGCGCGGCGGAGCGGGGAGGTGTGGGGTGTGCAGAGGCACCTGCCGGGACGGCAGGCACGGAGGGCGTTAGTGCCGGGCACCGAGGGCATGAGCTGCCGGAGCGGCGGCCCCTCCGCGCCGGACCCGGCTCGGGGCGGCCGCTCCCGCCCGCTGGCGCAGGGCAAGGCACGGAAGGGCCGCCCCTCCCACCCAGAGGATGAGGTCGGCTCCACCGCCAACGTCCCCGGCTCCCCCCGCCGCCCGGTCTCTGCGCTCCCGTCCCGCCCGCGCTCCCTTCGGGGCTCGGCTTGTGCCGCGGCCGGTCCCGCTCCGCTGGCCGGACGCAGCTCCCCGGGGGTGCCCGCGGTGCCCAGCCCGTCCCCAGGCTCCGGGACACCTCCGGTTTCTTGCCAGAGCCGCGCCAGCCGCCAGCCCCGGACGGGGCCGCATCCTGCTGGCAGACGCCCGCTCGCACCCCCCGAGCTCAGCTCCCTGCCCTTTCACATCGCCCCGCTCACCCTCGCCCCTGTTCCGCTGCTGCCGCCACAGCGCTGCCGGCCCGCTCTAAATGGAGACGGGCCGAGCGCGCCCTGCGGATGCCAGAAGGGCAGAGTCCTTCCTAAAGTCACTGCCGCCTCTGCCTGTGAACCGTCCCATCCTGTCCCTCCCCTCGGTTCGGGGCTCCGCTCCCGAGGGTGTTGCCAAAACCACCCGTTGGGTGGGAATTGTGGTCCTGCCACCGACGATGGCTTGCACCGCCACCCTGCAGGGAGCCTCTACCTTCGAGTGGTCCTCCCTTCCAGTGAAGGACAACAGCACTGACTGCAGAACAAGAACCTCTGGCTGCTGATTTAAGCCTGGCTTGGGAGCTGCTGTATTGTTTCACCAATTTCTGTGTCTTTCTGTCCACATACACTGTGGAGGAGAAAATGCCATGACAAGCCAAGCTGCAGCCACAGGAGGTGCTACCAATGTTCACACCCTGCTCCCTCTCTGTGGCCCCTGGTACCGAGGGGAAAACACTGTCTGCAATAAAGTGGAAGCATTTCCTCTCCCATTACAGCCTCTTTCAAAACTTCATCCTAATTTTACTCTCTGTACTCTGCCCCAATCCCTTTCCATGTACATTGTCTTCTGGAAAGAGCCACTGCCTTCTCCAGGGCCAACACAAGTCTCTGCTCCGAGGTACCCTTGAGTGCTGAGCCTGCTGTGCTCCACCAAGGGATCAGCTACATGCAAGGCTTGTGTTTTCCTGATTCTCCCTCCATCAGTTACTGCGTGGGCAGGTGCTGTGGTGGCACCAATGACTGTGGGTACGTAGGAACTCCTCTCCTGCTCTTCTTAATCTTCTCTCTTTCAGCCTGGGGAGTGTTGGGATGAGGGGCTGCCCAGTGCCATTGTCACCAGCATTCCCAAGCTGGCCCATGGGTACACTCCATCACGTGTGGCTGTAAAATCCTGTCTAGAGGCTTTTAAAATCCTAACATACACAATCACACAGGATTATCCTTTTGGTTTTCCCCCTCAGAAATAGGGGCAAGTGACTTTTTCTTACACATTTTTTAATCTATTACATTATTTTAATATTTATTATAAACTAGCCAGTCAATTACATAAGCATAATAATATAATACTATAATAATAAACATGTTATCATAATGTAATTTTATAATGTAGTAGCTTGCTTTGTAAAAGTTGTCCTACAATCTCTGAGCCTCTTATCCCTTTTCCCCCAACACCAAGAATCCCAGGCCTCTGAAGGATGAGTTTTAAGTCTTTTTTGCAACATTGTCATCTCCTGCAGAAATTTCACTTGTCAGGGCAGACAGCAAACAAACAAAAGCAAGCACAATGCATGAATATTCCCACACTGAA